AAGATATCAAAATCAGGGTAAGACTTTTAATGTCAACAAAAAAGATAATGTCGAAGAAATATTTCAACAAAATTTTCAAGTGCAAGGTGTTTTTTAAGAGTAAATGGTTTGAACCTAGGTGTTGAAGTTTGTTGTGAAATGTGATCGTCCGAGTAAGTGTAGTCTTGAGAAAGACTGTTCTTGAAGATGACTTCCGCTCATGTTGTCGAAATGTCCAGGGTTCGTGCTACTCCTTAAACTCCTTGAATTTAATTCACGATTTCAAGGGCACTTGAAAAGCTCTTGAATTTTACGATTTTAGCAAAACTCCTTAAACTTTTGCTTTGATCATTACTTTCATGGTTCTCAAATAGATCTAGTCAGAAAAATTGGAAAATTTGAAAGTCGGCCATGTGCAACCACCGTGTAAAACCTTGGCATAGTTAGCTGAACATACTCCTTGAAAATTCATTTTTGGGTCCTTGTATACTCCTTGAATAGTCCTTGAATTTTAAGTGGTTACCTTAGCACGAACCCTGAATGGCAGTCACCACCAACAACAGTCTTTCTCAAGACTACACTCAATCAGACAATCACATTTCACAACAAAGGTGTTTATTGTTAAGAATAATTTTTCTCCAAGTCAGAAAAAAATCTTGATGAAAGTTTATTTTATCTCTAATAAAATGTTGTCATGATTTTGGTCGTTGTTTTTCTAGATCTCAGCTCCACAAGARAGATTATATTCAACATGGATAGGGTATGTAGAACTTCGTAAACAGTATCTGGGCTATAATCTCTACTTGGGAATTGGTTGCAAACTGTGAAAATTAGTTATGTGAATAGACCCTTTATACCATGCGGATACATTAAAACTGACCAATCGGAAAAGAGTAAACTAGATGGAGATTGAACTTATAACAGTGTTAGCCAATCAGATTATCACATTCAAATGCTCTTATTTTATCAATGCGCTATCTGATTGGCTGGTTAAAAATATTGAACTAAATCTTGAATATGATTGGTTAATGTTAAGGGTGCAACACAGGCTCTTCCTGGAACATAGGGTGTTTTTTATTTCTCAATATCAAAATGAAAAATGTATGCTCAGTAGATATTGAGGCCTTATAACACACATCAAAGCAGTTGATAGAATCTGATTGGTTAATGATCCAAAAAAAAAAAAAAAATAGCCCACATGTTTCAACACACAGAAATGTCCCAGGGGATGGATAATTGAAAAGCCAAAATGTCTTTCCGCTGGCCGCTTTTGGCTGCTCTAGTAGTGAAAGGGTTAAGAAGGGGGCACTGCTTTTCTAAATTATTATTTTCTGCTTATAACAATCCACATTAATTTTTCTTTTTTCAGAGGTTCTATTCTAGCATCTCTGGATACCTTCAAGAAAATGTGGGTTTCGAAGAAGGAATACGAAGAGGAAGGAGGCAGAGCAATCCATAGAAAAACATTCTAATGTAGATTATAAAAACCTTTAACCATTAGCTATAATAAATAGAACTTTACAAGGCAAACACTGCCCGTCATGTGATATCAACAAGAGAGTATTCTATTGCTTGGTAT